TTTGTGCAGTGCAGCCATGTCTCTTTTGCGTTTGCGTGTGTGTAGCCGTTGAGTCCTTCTGTAAAAAAAAGACCGAGCTTTCGTTCTCCATGCCCCTGGCCCTCAAGTGGATGAAGGCGAGTATGGGACCCTGGTGCGCATTCAGGTCAAAGGCTGGGTTTCCAAACAGCCGGAGGACCCCCGAACTCGCTCGTTTCTCTTACATGGCAAGGAAATCAAGGAACTTTCGGAACTTTAGAGGCCTCTTCACAGTTGCTGTGGAACTTGGTGACCTTCAACAAGGACAGCAAACACCAACAGGATTGCATTCGAGTGTCTAGGGCCTAGGGTTCTCGACAGACGAATCTCATCACTGGCAGGTCTTCGTCCAAGACGAGGACAGAAGGGGCTTGGTCGATCTGGCCAATGAGGGTGGCAGAGTTTTGCTATGGACTATGGAGTAGAGGTAGAGGTCTCGAGTCGGGTCACCACAAGTTAAGTACACCGAAGCAGTGGTTAGTGCTGGCATTCTCAGTTGCCAGCGCAGCTGGTGCAAACCTAGTGAGAACCCCTTCCCTTTCGCGTAGCACCGCTTGCTTACAGAATGCTAACAAGTGGGGTCGTGTGTCCGAGCCTCTACACGCAGCGAACTGCGGATGCTGGTCGGACTCCGGAGCCAAAGGCACCGAGGGCTCCCACTGCAGTCGCCAGCATCATCTTTTGCGGCTGGAGCCCAGCATGCTTGTGTCGGTGTTGGCTTTGGGTCTTGGTCGATGGCTCTAACATGTCATATTGTCAGCCTATGTTCTTCTACATGCATATCACCGTGTGCATGACATGCCTCCATGCTTCACACATGCCTGCATGCATACACTCCTCACAAGCTCCAAGATGTCATCATCGATGGCTTCATAAACTTCATGGTGTATTGTGCGTTGCATAAGCCGGTAGCCCTCTTAGAAGGCTCAGTCTCGAGTGCAGGACATTCCTCAGGGTCTTAAGATCCTTGAGCTGGCGTCTCAGGGGAAGGAGCGAGGGTCGGAAGATAGGAACGTGGTCCCATGAGCAAACCCGAAATGTGGCCGAAATGATTGCAAGCTGGTGCCGTCGACGTCATTGCCCTGCTATTCGTTTGAGAGATGTGGACCAGCTATAATTTGAATCGCGCCCGGATTTCCTGAAACCTGGTCCTTGTGCGACACGTGAATTACTTGGCTTTGTCAGAGATGGGTGATGTTCTTGCACTAGTCAGTCTTGTTGATTGCTGAAGCATCCCTCGCCAAACTCAAGGCAATACGGCGCCTTTGGTGCGGCACCAGGTGCGTGGACGAGCCTCGCCTCAATTTGTAAGCCAACCTTCGTCGTGCCTGTGTGAACTCAGCCAGTCTCAACACCCAGCTTTGCCCAAGGAGCAGGGTTGCACACAAGGCCTCGGGTGAAAGTTCTTTGCAGTTCTGATGCTTAAGTACTTGCACTTCGCTTCCTCGGATCGGATTGCTCCTGATGATGAGACTCTAGAAGAGTTAACTCATCACATCTCGAGGTCCTGTGTTCTGCTGACGTGAGTTACACTTGTCTGCTTGCCAAGTAGTTGGGCTAGTCCCGGAGGCCATGGCTTGAAGACGGTAGAGCTCCTTGGTCCAGCATTCAGCGGTTGGACTGCGTGGCCCCACCGGTACGAGCCAAGAATCCCTTAAGGGCTCAGCAAGGCATTCTTCCTGGGATGCCAAGGCTTCGAGGAGGTTTGACCTGTCATTGAAGCTGCGTCCTCAGACCATTTTAATGCATTGTACTGATGGTTGCTGTTCTCGTTTTGCTTCGCAAAAGTTGAAGCAGTAGTTTCAGCAACCGACTGTGCGACGGAGACTGTGCGACGTGAGCCGCGCAAAGGAGCACCTTTGCCAAGGACCAGTCCATATTCGCTTTTGCCACCTCGGCGGCCAGTCTTTGACTGCTTCCATGTGGCTTCAGCGGGCCTGCGTAGGCTGGTGATGCTGGGCCCGTTTTGAGAGTGTTCTGTTGCAGTGGCTGGGGGCTCAACAGGCTCATGTCTGCGGCTTGCCCTTCCATATCCAGCCGAGCACTGAGCTCCTGTAAAGGCTGTGCCGCACTGTCGCTGATGTCTCGGTGTGTCGAAGCATCCAAGGCTGCACCAGGCTGCGGCACAACTTGAGAACAGACATCCATATTCACGACTTACCTGCGATAGCATTTCGCTGAGACCAGAGTCGCTACCACTCGATTCTTTGGTCTACGTTTTCGGCCTGAGACTGGCCAAGGAAATGTGAAGCAACTGAAGGTTGTTGTTTTAGGCCCCTACTTGTGTGGATCTGTAGTTCGATAGTCTCTGTGTCTGTATCTCAAACGGGTACGTACGTTGTAGCTCTCCGGAGCGTCGCATGGGATGGACCGATCCCTCCCAAAGTTTGGCCGCTCTGCAGTTAACACGGCCTGCGATGTACAGTGAGCCACTTTGAGCTGAGACATGCCAGCACCGGTGGCCAAAACCGGAACTGCGGCGTGCAGTGCCCGCACCCTCCAGCCAACTAGGTTCGTAGCCATGACTTGGCTTCTCTGCCCATCCGCTAACCCTGTAGCCGTGCATCCGGGACCCCCGAAAACCATCACTTTTGCTCCTCTGTGGTGGCTCGGTGGCTCCTCAGCGGCAGAAAGATCGACGAGAACCACCTGTTGCACACGGAGCCCTCAGATCATGGCTTAGTTCGCCCTTCAAAGCTGTGATAGCGCAACCCCCAAAACCAAAACCGCGTACGTGCCATGGCCCTGGCGGCCCGGTTTTCGGGGGCCAAAGCTTCGGCCTCCAGCCGAGGCCCAGGCTACAAGAGCTCCCCCCACCGTTGTGTCATCCTATCGTGACTCCTGAGAGGCCTGCGGTCTGGCAGTGCGAGCCTTCGGACGCGGGCAGCAAAGATCTGCCTCGCCGTGGCGATCTCATGGGGCTCCGGGCTGCCCTTTGCGGGAAGTTCTGGCCGCTGCCAGCCCCGCGGAAATCGGAGCGGCGCTGGGCGCGCGGCAGAAGACACGATGGGCGAGCTGTTTACGAAGTACTACCGCCTCCAGGACGGACTTGGCAGGTAGTTGCTCGCTGCGCAGTTTCTTGAGCCGAATGTCGCCGAGGAGGTGAATCGGAACCTGGAGGCCTGTGGCTGAGACTTTCGACACGACCAACCCTTTGGAGCCTATGCATTGGAGCATTCCATTTGTAAAACGTGCCCTTGCTCCAGACACACGGCACGTGTGGGAGGCAGACACGAAGGTTGCTGTGGTCTCCGAACTGCTGGAGGCTTCCGAAAGTGTTCAGATGTTTCGTGCACAAGGATTGGGGCATGGTGCTTGACTTCATGATAGCATGATGCCACTCGTGCCGAAGAAGTCCAGCATCCACTCACTTACGAGTCCATCTATGTATGTTTCTATCATCAATCTAGCTATTTCTCTGTCTATCTATCTGTCTATCTATGCAATCCATTCCAATCCAATCCAATCTATCTAATCTTTCTATTTATCAATCTATCTGTTCTATACCCCCCCACCCCACCCCACCCCACCCCACCCCACCCCGCCCCACCCCGCCCCGCACCACACCACACCACACCACACCACGCCACGCCACACCACACCACACCACACCACACCACACCACACCACACCACACCACACCACACCACACCACACCACACCACACCACACCACACCACATCACACCACACCACGGGGGGACACCATGGGGTGGGGGGGGAGGGGTGTGGGGGGGTCGCTGCACCATATATATATATATATATATATATACGTACGTATCTGCATACAGATATACATACATACATGCATGCGTACATGCGTGCATGCATACATGCGTACATCTGTACATGCGTACATGCGTACATACGTACATAGGTACATACGCACATTCATACATACATACATACATACATACATACATACATAAGTACATACGTACATACGTACATGCGTACATGCGTACATGCGTACATGCATACATACGTACATAAGTACATACGTACATACGTACATAAATACATACATACATAAATACATACATACATACATACATACATACATACATACATATAAATACATACATGCATATACATATACATACACACAGGCACACACCAGCCAAACATGTGCCTCTTTGCCTGCATACATGTTTGACAACTCATCAGTTTGTTTCAGAGGTCCTGGATGACCTCGAGCGCGGGGCAAGCCAGGATGGCGGCACTGGCGGAGTGTCCACTTTACGGTGTCCCGGCAGCAACCAAACCATTTGGAGACTCCCTGCAGGTCTCCAGACACGCGAATGCCACCCTAAACCCTAAACTGCAAACCGTCTGAATTTGCTGGCAAGAGCTTGCAAGTCCCAGCTCTGAGGAGCCTGGCCGACAAGTTCCAAAGCCGGCCGGGGCCTTCAGGTTTCATCATATCAGTGGTATGTATCATTCCATTCTAGAAGACGTTGCTATATATGATGGGCATGTGATCCGATTTCCGACAGTTTCGGGCCGGTTGTTCTTTTGTAGGCGGCTTTCTGTTGGCTGCCGGTGTGCGAAACGGCCCTTCTGAAACCCTAACAAAAGCACAAAAACTTGATAACACCTTCAAAAAATACACCAGAACGACTACAATAGGGGTGCATCTTTGAAACTCGGCAGATATTGCATCCGGGGTTGCGGTTTCCGTCGATCATCACGCCGTCCTGAAGCGTAGAAACCTTTCTGCACCCGTGTTCCCAGCCCCCTGGTATTCAGCCCAGACCTCCACACGGTGGATCTGCCTCCTAATTAAGCACTGAGGCTGGAGTCACTCGGCTTTGAGAGGATAAAGGCTCGACATGCCGAGCTCTCCGCAATTCGCATCCAACGGAAGCTCTCTCTCTCTCTCTCTGTCTCTGTGTTTGTCTGCCTAATTCTGCCTAATCCCTCCGTGATTCGGCAAGTCCCCGGGCGTCCCCAGCTTTGCGCAGAAGAGGCCCTGGGAGCTGTTTTCGATCCAGCCGAGCACGAGGCCGTCGACGTGGGGAATCAAGGAGGTATGAAGGTAAGGGCCAGACAAGGCATAGTGACTTCTCTGTTCCTTGCATGATGCTTACGATGTGAAACCGTAGCGGAGCATTCGACCATCATCTCTCGGAGAATCCGCCGCTGATCCGGACCATCTCTGAGTGCCTCCTGACGAGAGGTCTTCAGGCTTCTTGGAGAAGAGACTCGACCTCCTTTCTTGGCCCTTGCAGGCCGCCTCGCAACGAGCGGCAGAGGGCCAGGCTGAAGGCACGGTCTGCGAAGAGTTGAGGCGCGAGGGCACGAAGAGTCTCAGCCCTTGCACATGTCAGCTCGACGTGCTGCCGGATGCCTTCGTTCATGAGCACAAGTCGCTGACGGCCACATGAGTGATGTTGCGTGCCCGAACCCGTCATGCAGGTCTGGTTGGAAGCTGAGTGACCGTGCCTCGCTCAAACTCAGTGCCCAGAGCCTCCCCATGATCTGAAAGATTTCACGTGGGCCGCAATTCTTTGCCAGGGCCATCCTCCGCTTGCAGCTGCTGTTCCTTGTAGGACCCCGCATTACTGGGCACGACTGGATCTGCGATTCCTTTGCAGGCATAGTTCGGCCATCGGTGGTCATCGTGGCATCCTGAGATTCGCGTGGGCCGTAGGAGACCGGAAAGTGCTTTCCGGTCAAAGATCGCACCTGCACCAACGGAGACGGGAGAAAGGGAAGGAAGCTTGCCAGACATGGGCACCGTCAGGCACAGAGCGCAGTTTCCTCGTTGCTGCCGTTCCCACAGCTGGAGGGTACGCATGGAAGCCCAAGGAATGAAACTCCAGTAAAGGTCGGCCAGTCGACAGTGAAAAATCACAGCACCGGGAGCCTAAATTAGGCCAAAGATGCCCAATACGAGCGGGGGGCTAGGGCTAGGGCCTTCAGTCTCGGAAACTATCAAGCCCGAGGGCATTAAGGCCAAAACGCAGCAGCACCACCCCGAGCTATTTGTTTTCCCCGTTTCGGAGCTATGGCAAGCCATCCGCTGGACACGGCATCTTGCCCCAGCCGCCGCTTGCAGTGAGTATTGGCCGGGCTTGGAGATGGGACTTCGAAGAGCCTTTCTTGGTGTTTCGGGGAGCCTTTGTTATGTCCGGGCTTTGTGGTGATTAAGGGCAGCGCGCAGCGCTGACACTCACTCGGCTCACTCGCCCTCGCCCTCGAACCTTGCCGCTGTCACCATCGACGCTCGCATGCCATCCGCCGTCGGCAATATACGAACCTAGCATCCGTCACGCTGCGCTGCTTCAACCAATGATACCATCCATCATACCATCTCCACGCAGCTTTGTCAGCCCTGAAGATTGGAAGGAATACTGGAACGGTAGCATGCGGGTAAACCGTGACACGACGTCTGATTGGTGCTGAGGCTTTTGGCTACTCTGGCTTTGGCCACTCCTGCGCAAGGGGTCGCAGAAGCCCCTCAAAGAAGAGGATATGTACGAGTGACTTGGAAGCAACCAGCCGACGCAGACCATGAGTGACCACGATGCTGTCCTTGTAGACATGAGCCATTTGTGGCTGCTCATGCTTCGAATATGTCAGGATTCCTGAGTGCCTGCGCACCGCAGCTCTGGACCCATGCTGGTTTAACCATCTGAACAAGATGAAGGTGGGGTTTTCCCGAGCTTTGCATCCTTACTAGCTGACTGGCTTAGCTAATTTTACGATTTTGCGCGTTTCTACATCCAAAACAGATTCTTTGGGTACAGCCCTGCAGGTCGAGGGACGGGCAGGTCGCGCCTCAGTCCTGCGGCTGCTGATGCGGACCTTCGGATGGAGATACGTATTCATCCTGGTAACGTTTTCCGTCTGGCTCGCAAGCTTATCGCTGCTGCCCTTCCTCACCGAAAGCCTGTTTGAATGGCTTGCAGAAGGCCAGGAAAGAGATGAAAGTTATACATTTGCTTCGTCATGTGATATACATGGGATACCGCTTCGTAAAGATGCGTCCCGGATGGATGTAATCCAACAGGCCCTGACTTCTATAGGCAGCAGCATTGCCGCCGGACTGGGATGGTGTGCAGTCCTCGTGGCAAGTCGCGGGCTCAGCCAGCGTGCCCTTGGGACGAGCCGGATTTCGGTGGGCCATGGAATCTGTTCTCTGCGTCTTAAGGCTACCTCGTGAACTGCAATGCAGCTTGCCAGTGGTATCAGCAGACCACCTTCCTGGGCTGTGAGCTGCGTGCCTCCGCAGCTATGCTTGCAACTTGGCTCTGCAAACGGCCTGCTGCTTGCTTGGCACCGTCACTAGAGCGAGCTTCAGCGCGCAGTGGCCCGCCGCTGCGAAGAACGGGAGAATGTAGCACGTGACTGTGTGGCTGCTGTCGCCGATGTTTTCATTCAGGTCTTCCGCCGGGCACTGCAGCTTCAGGTCCAGGATTCGGACAAGGACGTGGCACTAAACCTGATGCAGGCCGCAGACATGTCGAGTTCTACATGCAGGGACAGAGGGTGACGGGATGCCAAGCGTTTTCCGGGCAATCCCTGAAACTTGTCTGTTCAGGGCCCTTCGGCTTGCACACACGGCTCTAGGGATGGGTGCTAAGCCGAGACTCAGTCTGAACTCCACGGTCTAAATCTTGAAATCGAAGCATGTAACTAGCTGTGGAAGCACCCAGAAACCACAGAGATGTCTAGTAGAGCAGATGAGCAGAACTCGGATACCACTCTTTTCTTGACAAAAGCTCGCACTTTCCTCGGCCCAACTTGCCTTGTTGGGTAGCAATAGTCTCCGAATCTGAGAGTTGATGTGCCCTGATCAGGTAGATGCTGAGAGACTGTACATCTTTGCGCAGTTGAACCACTTGCTGTACGTGGCATCTCGACCTCAAGCACGGCCTTACATTCGATGCAATGCCGGTTCAGCACGAAGACTTTCCATCCCAACGGCCTTCCCTTCGGTTGACAGTTTAAATGGATGAGAACCCGGCAACAACCGTGTCTGTATCGACAGCAGCAAGCAGTCCAGGCCCTTGTCGTGCTGGTTACGACATCGGCATACTTGAGACTTGGAGAGAAAATTCGATCTTCAGTACTGGTATTACTTCGACACTTCGGGAACACATCATGGCTTGCCGCCAGGATAGCACTGGAGGGGCCCGCGGTGGCGGCGATGGCAATGTCCGTTGTGATTGCCACTGGCCCAGAAGCGACGCTTTGCATGGGGACGCCTCGGGCAGCTGGAGAGCTGTCAGTGGACGTCGGCCGATTTCTGCCTGTTTTGTGGGATGGTTGGGTCTTGCGTCTGCTCGTGCCCCGTACTCGGCAGCCTATCATGTCGAGAGCCCCAGTTGCCTTGATGTTTCTGCGGTGCTGTAGCATCACCTGTTTTACTCATGTAGATGCTGCAAAACATCGCGTCTCGCATGGGAATCCCTTTATGCAGCTGGCGAAAAATCAGGCGACCCTGCTTCTCCAGAGCCTCGTGAGTCGCCGGGCGTCCCCGGCGCGGCGAAGGATGCAGCAGCGCCTTGGGGGCAGAGCTCTGCAAAGGCTTTCAGTGGTTGCAAAGAAGGCGGAAGCTCAATCGGGGGGGTTCCTGCAAGGTGCTCCGACGAGCGCATCTCACTCTTGGCCGAAGTGCTCGATGCTGCGACCTCGGAATTTACGGTACAAGAACGCAGGATCTCAACTAGATCAGTGCCTTCGTTCATTGCTGGCAGCTTGCCCACAAGTTATATAAATTATGTAGCCTCTCATTCATGGAAGTAGGTGAAAACTGCAAGCGATGAATCTTTAGGCAGCCCACCCACATATGGGAGCTACGGTAGTCGAAGGGTCTGCGTTCTACTGGCGCCTGCAGGCGGTGCGGGTTCTGAAGATGTATGGCTGGGCCCAGTATCTGCAAGGCCGAATCGAGGACAGCCGTCGGGAAAGAGTTCAAATGCCAGTGGATGGGAGAGCCATCGGCTGCCCTCGTGCAGGAAATCCGACGACGCGAGCTTCGTTCGGCCTCCCTCTACCTGGGCCTCAGGGCCTTCAGCAGTGCTCTGCTCTACTGCTCGCCCCTGCTTTCGATGTTGGCCGTCTTGACCATGATGCATTTACAGGAGACATGGCTTGAGTTCTTCTGTGGGCTCATGAGCAGAATAAGCCGAGCAATATGAAGCCATCAGCTGCGCAGGACAAAGAGCTCTCTGCAGAGCGAGTCTTCCTGATATTCACCACCGTTGGTTTGGTGCGTGCTCCACTCGGAGGCGTGGCGATGGGCTTCACGGCTGTGGTGGATGGGCTTGCAGCTTTTCGCCGTCTGAACGCTTTCGTCAGCCAGCGACGCCCGGCCATGTTATGGGAACAGACTCCGTACATCAGCAAGAGTAACAAGGTCAGCCGCATGCTAGATGCATAGATGCACGAGTCACTCCGGCCGCTGTGCTCTTTGTGCTGAAACCGAGAATCCTTCGACCTGTACGAGAAGGACCTTCAGCCTCAGGAGCCCGAAGCTGCGGAGAAAGATGTCTCCGCAAAGGCCGAGCTTCAGGGAAGCTTCGTGCACGGCCACGGCCCGGAGAGCTCATTTGAAGCCTTCGAGCTCAGCGCCGACCTGACCCTCCAGCCTGGCCGGGGCCTTGGGGCCTCGCAGTTTCTTTGAATTTGTGTGACGCTTCGGATGCGCCTGACGAGAAGGCGAGCTCGTGGCGGTCTGTGGCCGAGTGGCCTCGGGAAAGTCCTCGCCACTCTTCTGCAGCCAAAGTCGAGGAACCTGGAGCCGAGCTGCTTGTTCCGCAGGTTGCTGCTGGGGCTTCTGGGCGAACTCCGTCGAGTTGGTGGGCGTCAGTCGCTGCCTGCAGGTGGCCTTTGAGGGAAGGTCTTCGGCTGCCGTAGTCCCTCTTCAGTTTACGGACAGGCCACTTTGCTATCATTGTAGCTGAGTTGGGTCAGGGCGAATGTGCAAGTCAGAAGAAAAGCCGTGAGACGCTTGTTCGCAGTCTCGGTGCATTCTTCGATCTCTATTCCTTTCTGTCACCCTACCTTCTCCTTCCCTTCTTCCTTTGCCTCTGGTCCGAGTGGGCCTTGGGATTTTGAGCTTGTTGGTTTTCTCCAGTCCAGTGGAAGCGCGATCAGGCGTGGCCTACCTGGCCCAGTCGCCATGGATCCGCAGCGGCACGGTTCGGGATGTGGTGGTTCAAGAACTGCCTTTTGATGAGAAGCAGTACTGGCACCCCGTCCCTGATTATGACAATACTTGACTGTGCTGCATTCACTGGATTTGCTGTGAGAGCGGCCAGAGCTGAGCCGTGAATCCTCCGAAGTCCCCCCAAGGAGCTGAACTTCCTAGCCGAGGCCTTGTACTGTAGGCCGTATGTAAATATAAGTTGCAAGGCCCAAACTCGAAGGGCTAAACCGTGAACCAAACCAAACTGTCCCGACACGCATGCCGGACGGAGCAAATAACCTTATCAAAAAGATAATGCCAGATCCACCTGATCCACCGGTCCAAGTTTTAAAAACTCTGAGTCTGCTACCCCAAACCCTAAACCCTAAACTGGAAAAAGGCGCTCAAAAAAAAAACCTAGGGTATCTCTGATGATGTTCTCCAGCAAGATTATGGTCTGGACTGGTTGGTTGCCTTTCGGACAATTTACGCTGAAGGGATTGAAGCTGCTAGACCTTTGTTGGAGCACATGGTTGACTGGAATGCTGCAGATGATGCTTCTGGTCTGGTGTCGAATCATCCGAGTGTGTGGTGCTTCACGAGTGGAGAAGAATGCTTGAGCTTGGGAATGCCGTGTACAGTGTCGGAGGGTGACGAGGTGCCAACAGCTTCAGGGCCCAGGGATGCACAACCGAATGAGTGAGTTCATGCGATGTCCACAAGAACACGATCGATTGAGGTGGCTGAGGGTTTGTGGCAAATTTGCCTTCCACAAATGTGGATTCTGGACAGTGGATGCTCTGCTAGACGGAAAAAGGCGTTCAAAAAAAAAAACCCTAAACCCTAAACCCTAAAGCCTAAAGCCTAAACTGCTAGTTTAAGGCACGCGATCCGCGCCGCCCAGCTCGGCCCAGACCTGCGCCGTCTGGCCTGCAGAAGAGACGGGGGCCATTCCAGGGGGGTCTCTCTTCTCGTAAAGCCATGTAGAAGAGAGGGGTCCTTCTATACTAGGGTTCATGGATGTTTAACAAAGGGGTGCTGAAATTCAGGTTTCCTGAAGAGCCGTGAAGAGGCTGCCTATGGACTCGCTTCGACATCGGGAGTCGGTATGCCAAACCTGTTTTCAGGTGAATGGCCTGGTGGAGACCGCCACGCCGTGGGTGCACGCGGTGCAACGCTCAGTGGCGGCCAGCGGACCAGGCAAGACCGTAGTGAGTAGATGCGTCAGCCTAGCGAGGGAGGTTCCTGAGTGACGAGGAGACGAGCAGAACAAAGCAGAACCTTCGTCTCGCCGAAGTTGGAAAGTAGCTGCGAAGTTTTGCTGCAGAAGTTGTTGCCACGTGGGAGGTTGGGCCTCGCGCACGTCCTGTACCGACTCCTTGCTGAGAATAGTTTCAGGCCGTTTGTGAGTTGGGCGTTCGGTCGAGGACCGCTGAGACGTCGTGATGCCGAAAAGAGCAAAGAAGGGCCGGGCCGCGAGAGCTGGGCTGGTCTCTGAGGCTGCCTGGTCTCGGAAGTGCGGGTTGTGCTCTTGGACGACTGCCTGGCAGCCGTGGACCCACACGTGGCCAGGGCCATTTGCGAGGAAGCCCTGCTAGGCCCGGTGCTGGGGGCGTTTTGACACCTCTCTCTCGGGCTCTGCAAAATCCCGGCCCAGGTGTTCTGCTGCAGGGTCAGAGATCCGTGGTCATGGTCATGAACTCCAACTTTGTGGCCCTGCGAGCGGCCTCCCGGATCGTGAACATGGAGCAAGGGCGGGCATCCGTGTACAACAGCGCGGATGCTTGGATAGCGGACTGCTCCAAGGCTACGAGGGAGGCCTGTCTTCAGACCTTGGCCGATATCCAGGCGCGGCCACCGTCTGATGCAGGCAGCGACTGTTTCGAAGAGGAAGGCGACGTTCTGGAATGCTCGGAGCAGTCGCGCACAGGCATGCTCAGTACCAAGACTCTCACCTACTATTTCGGGTCGGGACGGCATTCGGCAGGAGTCATCTTCTTGTGCTTCATTGTCACGAGCATGCTCTCAGTCGAAGGTCTCCGAATCTATTCCGACCATTTCATGGGTATCTGGGCTGCCCGGGATACTGCAAACACTGCGGAAGAGTCTAGAAGCGACTTCCAGACGTTCTGCTTCTGGGTTCTGCTGGCTGTTCTTGGTGCATTTCTTCGGGGCTGGCTGGTGGTCTATGTGGCACTGAAGTCCTCGGAGAACATTCATCGCCGACTTCTGGCGCGGCTGATGTCAGCTCCCATCGGGCTCTTTGACACCACACCGCGTGGGCGCATCCTCGGACACTTCTCGAAAGACTTGGACGCCGTGGATGCCCTGCTCCCCCAGTACTTGCTGGACTTCCTGCAGGCAGGCTGCTCTTGAGCTCATGGCACTGCCGGGCCCATGCCCAAAAGTTCGCGTTCGCTAGGACATAACAATGCTCCTGGGCATTGTGGTCGTGTGCGTCTGGTCCACGCCCCTCGCCGCAGTTGCTGTCGTCCCGGCCCGGCACCCGGGTTTCAGCAACTGATGGCCGGGCCTGGTGCCTGAAGAGGCTTTGGAGCCTCGTGAGCTTCGGAAGCCGCGACGCCCGAGGTCTTGTTCGGTTTTTACAAGATCCGGCATTTCTTCAGCCGCCCGCAGCCCAGTGCCGAAGTTTGGTGGCATCATGTGGGAGGGATGCTGCCGGTTGGTGGAACTGGTGATGATGGTGATAAGGGCGATGATAGCTGATAGCTCTTGATTGTGTTGATTGATCTTCCTGATATTCGGGTGACATTCAGCATTCGCATGCCTTGTTCCAATGTCTGGCTTCAGAGGCTGCTCGAGATGTTGGGCCTTCATAAAATCAGCACGAGGATCTGCAACTAAAGCTGAGGGGATCTGAGGGGCCTTCCCCGGTGCTCCCCCCCATTCCACTGCATTTGTCACATGACCGACGAAGATGGCATGACAGCCTCCTGCCAGGCACTGCACGCGAGGCCAAGCGTCTCGATGGCGTGACGCGGGCACCGCTTTACTCGGCCCGTGGGGGGAGGGAGCGGAGGGATGATGGTCCAGCCATGCCGGTTGCATCTGCTAACGACGTGTGAATCCTCGCTGGAACAGGCCATGGGTGACGTGGCGGACGGCTTGGCCACCCTGTGCCTCGGAGAGCAATCAGAGAGGGGCGAATCAGCACAGAAGTTCCGCGACTCGAAGGCGGGCACACGGGCAGCAGAAGAGCTTGGTGCAGCAGTTCCAGTCGCTTCTCGACCGGAACGGCAAGGCTCGGAGAGCTTCGGGTGACTTGGAGACCCCAAGTCGGTGTCGCAGGTCTTCTTCCAGACCTACATCCTCCAGCCCTGGTGTGCCTCGTCATACTCACATGTCACAGCAGTTTCACTTGCAAGATCTGGGCAAAGAGAGGGATGTGCAGCTCCAGACCCGAGGTATCCTGGTCCTGGACAGCCTGGGATCTTGCATTGTTTGCATCGCCTCCGTGTTTTGCGTCTTGCTCCGTGACAGTCTTCCAGCCCCTGGGACTGAAAGAACTGCTCGATTTAAGTACTGAGTGAGTGAATGAAGTAATGATCTGAAACCTATATTATAGAAGCACTAGCTTGGTAAGTATTCCGTAGTATCTAATCCATGTCAGACAGCTGTGGTGTACTTGGACCTATTCTAGATTCCAGAGGCTTGAGGAATACTGCTCTCCATCAGGCCAGCACCTCCACGATGGCCATCTCCTATGCCTTGATGACGAGACACGTCTTCAATCTGAAGTTTTGGACTCGTCCACACTATGAAGCTTCAATGAGCAGTAGGCTTTGCGATTGCTTGCAAGGAGAGGGAAACTGCAATTCTGCTACTTGGCAACGACCCGGCTGATGTCAGTCGGCCCAAAGCTGAACCCTAAACCCTAAACCCTAAACCCTAAACCATAAAAGCCCTAAACCCTAAACCCTAAACCCTAAACTCTAGACTCTAAACCCTAGACCCTAAACCGCAAGGCATCCGACTCTCCATCGAGGCGGAGAACCAGCTGGTGGCAGCAGAAAGGCTAGCGCAGTTCGAGGCTCCCACGCACCTCTCGGTTTTTCTCATCGTTGTGTTACTGAAGCCGAAGCTTCCTTTGGCTTCAGGCGGTGATTCCTAGCGAGCCGGTGGAGGGCAGGCCCCCGCCCGAAGACTGGCCACTGGAAGGCGGAGCGGAGCTTTCTGATGCCGAATCGATCTGCCTTCAGAGTTCTGGGGCTTTTGAGAGATGATTGGGCCTTAGCGGGCTTTGGTCAGCAGCATTCTGCTTGTGATATGCCCGATGACTGCTTTGAAGCCGGTGATGAACTCATGATACCGCCGTGCTTCACCACGATATTGTTCTGGTGCGACGATGAGGCAAGATCTTCTTCGAACATGTTTCCATGCGCTATCGTGCCGACCTTCCCCAGGCAGGAGCCGGCACGACACGCATACACATCTTTTTCTAGCTCTACCTTTACCTTACCTCTAGCTCTATCTCTATCCTCTATCCTCGCCCCGACTCTATCCGACTCTATCCGGCTCTATCCGGCTCCATCCGACTCTATCCTCAATCCTCTGTCCTCTATCTCTGTCTCTACCTCTATCTATTGTCTAACTATCTATCTATCTATCTATCTATCTATCTATCTGTCTATCTATCTGTCTATCTTTATATCTATCTTCTATCTAACTAACTATTCGTCTACCTAATCTATCTGTCTATCTGTTTATCTAGGTCCAGGTATGCACGTATAATTAGTGAGTTGAACATCACATGTAATTGTACATGTTTCAGGAATCCAGACAGGTATGAATGAATGAATCAATCATCAATGAATGAATGAGGAAGTGAGTCAATGCATGAATTAATGAATACATGAAAGAGAGAATGAAATAATCAATGAATCAACGAATCAGTGAATCAATTAATGGAAATGCATGAGTTAATGCATGAAAGAAAGAATGAAAGAATCAATGAATCAGTGAATGAAATGCATGAATTACAAGTAATGAATGAATGAACGAAAGAATGAATGAATGAATGAATGAATGAACGAGCAAATGGATAAACGACTGACTGACTGACTGACTGGATGAATGAACGAATGAATGAATGAATGAATGAATGAATGGAGTGAACGAATACGTGTATGTGCGCATGTTTGTGTGTCTGTGTCCGTTTTGTATGTATGTATGTATGTATGTATGTATGTATGTATGTATGTATGTAGGCATGAACTTATGTATGCATGTATGCATGCATGGATGTATGTATGTATGTATGTATGCATGTATGTATGTAATGAAATGTGTGTGTATGCATGTATGTATGTTTGCTTTTTTCCATGTATGTACGTATGTAAGTATGTATGTATGTATGTATGTATGTATGTATGTATGTATGTATGTATGTAAGGTATGTAATGTGTGTAATGTATGTAATGTATGTAATGTATGTAATGTATGTAATGTATGTATGTAAGTATATAAGTATGTAAGTATGTAAGTATGTAAGTATGTAAGTAAGTAAGTATGTATGTTTGTATTTGTGTGCATGTGTACATGATTGTATATGTGTGTGTATGTGTTCGTATGTGTGTGTATATGTGTATGTGTGTATGCTATTGTATGTTTGTGCATGTTTGTGTATGTCTGGGTGTATATATATATATTTGTGTAGGTTTATGTGTGTATTTACCCAAGTAGCTAATGGGATCGCCTAGAACTCTTTGGCCTTGTATATGTGGTCAATGTCAGAAAGTTTGAAACTCTGTTGGGCCCAGCTATTGAGGAAGAGACTGTGTATACATGTTCATATCTATGTGTGTGTGCGTGTGCGGGTGCATGCATGCATCTCCCTTTTGAAGCTCAGGTGTTGAAGGGCTTCCACCTCCAGGTATCTGCTGGTCGCAAGGCGGGGTTAACGGTTATCGCTTACATAAGGGAGCCCTGACCCTACCCTTCCACTCGCAATCTTGAATGCCGAAGGAGCCTTGATAGATCGTCGTATGCGCACCCACGCAACCGGCAATGCTCCGTCAGGTCAGCCTCGTTGGCCGCACAGGAAGCGGCAAGTCCAGTCTTCTTGGCGCTCTGTTCCGCGCTTACAAAGCCTCTAGGTGAAGTATCCTGCAGAATCTTATCCATCCTTCCTAACTTCCCCGCTCCCTCCCTCAATCCATGAGATGACATGGTCTCGCTGCCTGCCGACTGTGCTTCCTGGGCCCAGGCTGAGAGTGGTGAACCTCGATGCAGGGCGCATTTGCATCGATGGTGCCTGGCTTCAGTTCTTCTTGGAGGTTGACACGTCAAGTTCAGCCCAGTCGTCTGCTGCTGCAGTTGTCGTGTTACCGCCGTCGCCACGATGCCGTTGTCAACACCGGCATTACTCCGCCATGTTCCGTGCTACATTAGCACAGGTGTGGATATTGCCAACGTGCCTCTACAAGCACTTCGCACTGCCGTGTCCCTGATCCCCCAGGACAGTATGTTCCGTACATGCTCGCAAGCCGATTCGTTGTTTAAATTTGTTGAAGAGCTGAAAACCTATGGATTTTCTTCGTTCTGTGTGAGCCTCCAAAGCAAATAATCAATATCGCAACATGCGAACTTTGTCCATGACCCATCGAGTTGCTTTCTGTACTAGTATCCCCAAAGCTAGCTCCAGGCACGCCAAAGGGAAGCGTGTCCCCAGAAGGATGCTGCAACTTGCAAGTGAATGAGCACAGCATGCATCTTGCAGAGCAACATAATCTGCAGACGCTACAGGGCTATTGAGGCATGGCCCAACGAATCCCTGACCGTGAGTCCCGCCTGCTCCAACCTTTGAAGCTGACACCCATGAGGAGCCAGTGCTGTGGAGTGGGACGGTGGCGGAGAATCTAGATCCCACAAAGCAACTTTCAGAGAATCGGCTCCTTGAGGCGTTGTCGAAGGCGGCTCTTGGCATATGTTTTGGGATGTTTTTCAGTTGTTCTACTTGGCTTGTGTGTTCGTGTCACCGTGTCGGCGCCGAAAAGCCACGACATCTGGGATTTATCCTGGAGTGTTTTCATGGTCTCTCCACGGCATGCCTCAGTCTTCCTTCATGATCTCGGAATGATTCCTTCAGGTTCATTTCGATGCAAAGCTCCACGGACTCGGTGGCCTTGCAACGCGAGTGGAGAGGCAGAAGGGGCCGGCCCCGAGATCTGCGAAAGCCCGCCTCTTCACACACCTTCACCTTTAAGATATTTGAAGATGCTGGAACTCTGATGTAAGCTACCATTGTCTCCGCAGCTCGCTGTCTGCTAGCCCGAGGGTATGTATGCTAGACCGCATTCTGTGCTGGGATTCGGAAGGAGTGGAGGCAACTTCAGTTTGGGGCAACGGCAGCTGTGGCTTGGCACAACTGAAAACAATAACATTTTCTTTTCTATGCTCGGACTGAGAGCAAGTCTGTCGCAGCCTTGTCCAACGTTGGTGCAGGCTCCACTTATTTTGGCTTGGTCAGTTAATGCTACGCGTAGTAAAAACAGTTTGATCAACTTAGCACCCCGAAGGCTCTGCATCGCGAGATGCATTGCGAGGAGTAGTCGGGTCGTGCTGGTGGATGAAGCAACATCCTGTGTCGACGGCGAAACGGACGCGCTGATTCAGGATGCCCTGCGCACCCAGTTCCAAAATTGTACTATGCTGGTCGTGGCGCATCGGCTCCAGACGATCATGGATGCAGACCTTATTGCGGTGTTGGATGCGGGATGCGTGGTTGAAACAGGCTCAGAGTCAAAGAGCCTTAAGTTCCTGACAAGTCAAAGTGCATTATGTACATCAGCAAGCTTCATCGAGGGCAGTGAGGGTGTTCAGACTTTGCTGTGAGATGATGTGGCGTTTCGATAGCGCGCAGGCCATCCAGCCGCACTCTGCGCCGACCCCACGTCGCGCTTTTCGCAGATGGCTGCGCGGGCACCGGTGGAGGCAGATCATTGCTTGAGTTTGCTGTTGGATCCATCGGTTGAAGTACGATTCTGAAAGCACAAGGCATCTCAGGATGTGAGTTTGTGGCCTCTCCGAGGTTTCTCTTCAGGGCTTTGCAATCTTTGTCGCATGGATGCCCCGCTCCGCTAGCTGGTGAGGTCATCTGGTGATGTAGGGCTCGCGGTTGGGAGATCTGAACCCTTGGCCCCGGGATGCATTCCAACATGTCGATGCTTCTGTGCCAGGTTGGCAGCGAGCAGGGCCACAAAGCCACCACGCTGAGCTTATAGCAGCTTCAATTCCAAGGTCCTCTTACTGACGTAAGGCCTCGTACCTGGCACCCTTCCCGGTGCTCTACTGTGTAGTTCGAGCCGGCGCTGGCTCCACGAACCGCTTACCACAACAGGAGCTCATCAGGAGCCCTCGTGGGTATCACCGGGACGAGCGATCTCCCGAAGTACTGTACAGCGGTCCCTTGCAGTATAGGCCCTGACGGGCGACAGTCGCAGTCCCAGCTGCACCCTGTCTGTTCAAGTCTGACAGTAGTGGTAAAGTGCACTTGCTGCCTGGGGGCCCAAGACGGCTTGCCCCTAGGCAGGACGTGCTTTAATTTTCAGAATCTGTGCAGACGGAGCCAATCTGTTTTCCTTTGGCTTGGTCGGCAACAAGAGATTGCATGAACGAAGATGAAGCGTATCTTCTCCGAAAGCTTCCAGGTGGATGTCCACCGTTGGCCTTAGAGGTTGATTCAGCCACCAACCCTTAGACGCGGTGTTTGATGTCCATCTGGATGTGCTGGTCCGTTAACGCACCTCTGTACAAGGTCACGGGCAATTGGGCTACAAATTGGCTCAGTGCGCGTCCAGCCGAGTACAGCTTTTGCGCTTCAAAAGGGGCACCCCGGCTACCCTTGTCGCATTTTGGCTGGCGACGGACAGTCAAGAGTCCTCACTCGCAGCCGCTTTTGCCCCAGAAGCCGCAGCATGCGCCAATCTTAGCCCATCCTGAAGATGTCCTAGACTCCTAGACCACAAAAATAATCCCACCATCCGGGTCACATATCATGTACGGCTGTGGCGGCGCGGCAAGCCACGCGTCTAACATGGTGATGTTGTTTGCTGTCCCGACGCTCTATACCGTCCCCAATGCTCAGCTGTCTTTGTCCTATATTCGTCAGGGTTGGCTAAACTCAGGGTTTGGATGTTGAGCGGAAATGGAGAGCACACTTATGAGTCGGTAAAATTCGCACAGCTTCCTAGCTGTGCCATGGATGATGAGCTTTTGGCCACATGGGCCCGCTTATTGCCGGAGGAGATGGGCTGCACTGCAATGAGTCAGGGCCGCCGAGCTAGCTGCCCCACGACTGCACAGCCCGAGATGTGGAAATGTGACCCATAGGAGCGGGGCAAACTCCTCCGGCTCGAGGATCCAGCGACTGGCCGGCACTAAAGCCTGGAGAAATTCGTGTAAGCATCCTCAACCGCATGATTCTAGTTGGACAGGTGTTATGAGGCCCAGGCCAAGCCATTTGAACCAAGTGCTGCCTGCAAGGAATGTGTTCGCTTAATTGCCCGGACCTCGTCTGTTCGCTGGCTTAGCGCCGATACAAGCTGTTCCTGTGCATGATTTCATACACCAAGGATGTTGGCATGCGAATGTTATGGACGGCTGAGCTGCAAGCGCGGCAGTTCGGCGTCCGTGGGTCCACGGACCCCTTAGACAATGCCCAGCTGCCCCTGCTGGCCACCATGCAATTTGACGGCTTCACAAACCAAGGCCCGGCCCCGCGGCCCGGGTTGGGGGGGTTGGGGGGCGGGGCTTTGTCAAACTCCGCTTTTTTGGCGAGGCGAGAAGGTCTTCAAGCTGGTAAAGTGGCCGAAGGACTCGCGGGAAGTCCCAACACTGCAGCTGTCTAGCAGTGCGGGGCTGCCAAGTTGTGTGGCCGCTGTCGTTGGAGCTGCAAGTTGTCAAAGCTGGCGATGCCTTGCAGAAGGTAGGGGCGAGCGTGGTGTGTTTTGCGGTTCTGTACGTGAGAGTGCACCCCATCATGTAGCTCTACAGAAGAAGGCGGTGTTCCTTCAAAGCAGTCTCCTGATCCATTTCATGGCAAGACAGAAGGAAAATCTTTGACACAAGCGACTTGAGATCTTCCTACTCCTCCACGCGATTAAAGGAGCTGATGATATTGCACATGCAAATTCCTGCGAAGGAGTACCACGAGGACCCCATGGTCCTGGCGAGTGCACTGAGGCTATCATTGCAGGTGCGCCTCGTTTTGAGATGAGGCAGCATGGTTGGAATTCATGGTGCAGAATCCCTTTGTCAAATCCTGTTGAGTGGGCTACTGGCTCTCTTGGCCTACGCACTGAGCATTGACCACCCTTTGTGGGCCCGAATGTCTCCTTTTTTTGCACCCGCAGCCGCGAGAGGCCATGGCGGGCAACAAGCGGCGCCAGCCCGCGGCAATCAAGCCGAGCAGGCCCGAGACGCGTCTCACTGAAGCTTGCGACCGTGAGGGCTGAGGGGCAGTGTCGTAGTGCGGTGTAGTTCGTACGCTACTGTAGTAGACTAAAGTGGTTTCTTGCTGGCTTGAGGACGCAGCCGTAACAAAGCCAGTCGGACTGACCCAACCTCCAAGCATACCAAGTCCGGCAGAACTATCACCCCTGTTCACCTAACAGATCCCTTCCCAGAAGGCCAAGGAAGGCGCGACCAGGTGCCAAACTACAAACTACCACAACTGCTAATCACGCCGCTACACCCTGCATCTCTCATTGACGTGGAGTACTGGGCCGACGCTTCCGCCGAAATTGCAGGTGGTACCAGCTCCTCTCCCCTCCAGCACAGTCTTGGGCTGGCTTCGAGATCCAACTCGCACAGTCGCTCTGCCTGTGTTTGGGCCGTGGGGGTGAGGGTTGGGTTTTGTGAGGGCGTCTTGAGCTTCTGCAACGCGAGGGAGTTGGAGCCATTGGTGCTGGGCGGCGCCCGTGAGGCGATGAAGTTAGGAGTTTATCCGCCCTTGGAAGGCTCGTGGAGCAGCTCATCCTCCGTGCTCGAGAGGCCCCCAAGTGCCCTGGGCTTCGTGTCTCCCAGAACACTGAAGGTTCACCGAAGGTGTCCTCTCTGAGTCTGACAGCCTCGTCTTTGTCCAGGCCCCAGAGGCCCCTTCCGTGGCGCTGCCCGAGGGGCCGGAGGTCTGGGACTCACATTCGTGGGGTGATGTGGGGTGTGGTTTAAGGGAAATCGGAAATGGCTCTAGAGTGCGGCTGCTGTCAGCATGCTCCGCATTAGAGGTGTGGGCATCTTGGGATGCCCAGAAGACAACCTGCGACGCCGCATGATCCCCAGCACGGCTGAGCAGAAGTGTTATTTCGGCGATGGTGGCGCAGCAGCAGCTGCTACTTCTGCTGCTGCTGCCAACTGAAACTGCTACTGCTACCGCTGCCAGTGGTTGTGATTTCGGTCCCGCAGGTTGTCCAAGGGAGGGGGCTTGCGGCCGGACACGTGCTCAGCAACTTTCACTCTGATCTCTGTCAGGTCTCCGTGGCGCAGGCTCGTCAATCGGACGCGAGGCACCGACCCGTTGTCTCGTGTGGCAAGATCGCAGTGGACGGGCGCCTGAATGCAGGGACACACAAATCCGGGCTGAACTGTGGGTACATGGACCAAACAACAAGCGGCTCACCGATGGCTCAAAGGTTCTCGAAGAATGCACCTGTGAGTAGCAATGGCTCCTTCGGACCCCGTCGGAACCTGGCAGGATGACAAAGGGACCGAGTACAAGGTCTCTCGTGATGGGCCGGCGAGATGGACTGTGGAAACTTGCCGTCCAGACGGCCGGCGCCGTGTAACAAAAGGTTTGCTAAAAGTGTGGGAGGGTGCGGTTTATTGGGGATCGTCCTACTACTTGGACGATTGCCACAAGCGTTGGCTCACCTGGAAGCCGCTGAAGGAAGGAAAATCCGAGTACCACTGGTACGCAGTAGACGATCCGAAGAAGCGCGAGAAGCACTTTGTTGTGAAGGAGCCCCGTGATGAGGACGCCGACAGTCCCAAGGATCGCGAGGTCACACAGACCAAGGATATGGCATCGCAGACCGAATCCGTTCGGCCAGCCGTGGAGATGATTGTGCGGATCACCGGCAAGTGGAGGGATGAGAGTGGCAGCCGCTACGAAGTGGTACCAGACTCTGACTCCACATGCACAGTGGTCACCACACGTCCGACCGGGAGAGTCCTCCGAACAGAGGGGCTAATCCAGTACAAACCAGAGGAGTGCTGTATCTACTGGGGGAACAAGTTTCGCCTTGAGCTGAAAGATAGCCAGAGCTGCGTCTGGGTTCCCCTGCGCAGTGGCAAGTCCTTCTGCTGGCAGGCCGACAGTCCCCGACCGGTGGTGATGCACACGAGCACTTTGCCCACAGCAAGGAACATAGTGGAGGCATCTGCCCAGTTGCAAGACCTCCTAGGCATCTCAAAATCTTCTGGGAACAGCCGCGGTGGTCTCCAGAAGCGGATCTACAACCGCCCGCTGATTTCGAGGAACTCGACTTATAGCTCCTGAACTTGCGGAAGGTGGTGATCGAAGAGCGGATGGGCGTGGCTTCGAATCCGGGCCCGATGCCGGTCTTCTATCGGAGCCACTTCTCTTCCAATCTTCGTGATTCTCGATTGATTTCAATGTGCTAGTGATGCTGTCAATGTTCTTTCCGCTGCACGGAGAGCGTGGTGCAGTGAGATTTCAAAATGGTCGTGAGGAGTCGACCGGGCAGTGATGGCCCAATGATGGCGCACTGCCGTGCTATTATTATCTATCTGGAAGTTGTCTCTTCACTCTTGATTCCTTCCGTTGTTGCAAGTCTGTCAACAGTACGCCATGACATACCATACCATATTACAAGATGAGGACAAGCTCTTAAGATGATTGCACGTTCCACGCCTGGCTCAGCTGACGACGTTTCACTGAGGCTGCCGGCTTTCTCAAGTCCTGGCCGCCCCTGGGTTCTCAGACACAGTGACGCACGCAAGGAAAAAAGTTGCAGTGAGCTGCTCATGCCATGGGAAGCATAAGATTGAGTCTGCAGCTTGGCAGGTCCACGGAGGAAGCCGAGGAGGCAGAGGACAAGGAGGAGCCAGAGCCAGAGAGCAACGTATCGAAAAATGCCTCTTTTGCTCGTCTTTCGGCAGCGCCAAGGCCGGGCCAATCTGGCGGTGCCCGCGCCGCGAAGCGGGCGCGCCAGCGGGAACGGCGGAAGCTGGGGAAGGCAGGGCCCGGCTTGGCGAGCAGCGAACGGTTCGTGGCTCCAGGGTTGCACTGTGTCACTATGTTGCAGTCGCCGCCATCGGCTCTGAAGCTGGTGTTAGAGGACCCACGTCAAACTGTTGCTCTGCTGGTCGAGTTGTTTGGTTAATTAGGGATGTTAACCTAGCTGTGGGCCTGCAGCGATGGCTGCATGCTGGTGCCGGTCTCAGAAGCAGTGAGATAAAGCGAGGGCTGCCGAGGCCTTAACTTGCCCTAACGAGGTCCGAGGCTGCTGGCTGGCCGCGATTGCGGCGAGTGCCGGGGCTGATCCGTCAGCCAGGACCTGGGACCTTGCGCAGCCGTGTGGGGGGGGGGGCGGGGTGGGGCCTCTAAGCGCTGGAGGATCAGAGGGTGATTTTTGAAGGGATTCGATCCGAGGCGAGCGCGGAGGACCTTGAATTCTCGGAGGTGCTCCAGGAGGCCAACAAGCTGATCTGAGATTGGAACGTTCCCAAACTAGATTAGCTGTTCAGAGTCACAGAGTTCCTCAGGTTGCGAAGCGGCCACCGGCCCTCGCTAAAGTTCGACGAGCTGCGAGAAGACATGATGCAGTGCAAGAGCAGGCGGGCACGTGCTGGCCTACGAAGTCTTTACGGGGTCCTTATGCAGAACGTGCCGGGCCGCATGCGTTTCAGAGAGCGGCCGAGACTGAATCGAGCAAGGGATGTCTGCCCAATCCAGGCTGAACATCTCGCGTAGATACAGCCCCAGCCCGTTCTGAAGCTTCGGTGCAGTGCGACCTGCCGCGGGTTCCGGCGCAGCGCTTCCACTCCTGGGCTGAGGCTTCATGTGGGACGGGGTATGGTGCAGCATGATGGAAGTGCGAAAGAAGTGTTGCTGGTCAGTTTGCTGGTCAGTTTCGCCACAGCAATCGGACATCAGGACATCTGGACCCCAAGGCTCCGCCCAACGCCTCCTCTAACCTTTCTTCGTTATTCCGCTTTTGGGGAGTGTTGGGGTTAGGGATGAAGTGGATCCGCAGATGTGGTACTCGGACTTTGGCCTTGCATGCTGTTGAACCAGCAATTGCTCGACTTCTCGTGATTCCGGTGCTGCAGTGGTGTGCCCGCCTTTGCTCAGTGCACATGATTTACTCGAACTAGACTGGAACCCTTGTCACGTGCCCGCCAAGCGCGTCGCCACCAAACAGCAAAGCACAGGTGGCTGCATCCTTGAAGCGGCACGAGAGGCCTGTGATCATCAGTGGTCTCTCCAGCCACCTGGCCAGGAGTGGCATCGAAGTCCTCTGTGCCGTCACTGCTGTACTCGTGCCGTCCAACTGCAAGGCCTACCTGTGCTGAACCTGGACGAGCACGGTGACGAGGTCAGTGTGGACATGTGCAAGGTCCCTTAAGCATCTTGGAAGGTGTGCTGACCGTGCAATATCACATGTCCGTGGCAAGCGTTACTTCTAGTCTGCTCCCTGCTACAACGCCTACTAGCACGCTTGCCTGCAACCATGACCGGCTGTAGAGACGGGAACCTGAGCTTTCACTTTCTGAGGGCCGCCTCGCGAGCAGCTTTGTTCTAGGTCTGAGATTCGTTGAGAGCTGCACAAGTCTCCGAGACTTCCATCACCAGTATCTCGCACCAGGACTATCCCATCAACAACGGTCAATTTGGACCCGGGAAGGCGGGCCTTAAAGATGGACGAGCTTGCGGGACGGTCTCAGTAGCCGATAGTAGCCGATCTGCCTCCGCATGACTATTGGCGAGTCAGGAGTAGCGTAGAGTGGCAGGCTCAGCGCAGCATCGCCCTGGAGCGTCCGAGCCTTAGACGCAACAAGTGTCGACGTTAGCAAGGATGTCGACCTGCGTCGTTTGTGGCCGTCCGTTCGATTCTCAACCATGACGCCATGCCCTTCGGAGACTGTATGAACAGCAGCACTCGCCTCCAGCCTGCATTGCAGCTCAGCCTGTGCAAGCGTTGCAAATGGGAGCTTGATGGCCAACAGCTAGTAGCTAGTCGCAGCTAGTCCAAACCGAGCAATGCTGCGTCAACAAATTGCCCAGGAAACAAAAAGCCATTACGATGCAATCAACTCACCGCAAAAACAACCCAATCATTTGAGTGCGAAATGTCTGACAGCGTACGGTCGTGCTATGTCGTGCTTGATTTGTAGTCTTCTGTATGCATGTCTTCCATTGCTTTCCGAGGATATTTGCGAGGGAATGCCTCGAGTTTCCACATCTTCGCTATCAACAGGACCGTTGGGTATTCGTGATGTGTTAGGAATCGGCACAGTTTCCTTCGCACATTGCTAGATTGCTATCAGTGACCGACAATTGGCCGACATGGTCCCATGCTGGTTCGGAGCGGTGCAGGCCGCAGCACGGGCTGCGCCTGGAACCGTTCTTGCTCGATCAGGCTTCAGTTTGCGTTGCATTGACGGGTGCCGAGAATTGTTGAATCTCTGACAATGTATGCAAGGTAAGTTGTCTTGCCGTGTCTGGTCCAGTTTCAGAAAGCGCAGAGGCGCTAGATCCTGCTGAGCGGTTTGCCCTTAGAGTTGATGCTCTCTTAACGGGAGAGCCATCAAAAGCCACAGAGAGCGGGACCCCCCGACCACAGGCCCGCGCTCGTGCCGCGGGAGCGGTGGGCGATGGCCTGGCCGATCTCGCGGCGCGCTGGGTTTTCTCCCTTGGATTGCAGGCGGCGGTTGCTCGATTCGCTTCCTTTCCTGTTTGGGGCCGACTTTTGGCAGACGAGAGGCTTCCAGTGTGAACCGGCATTCACATGAAGCCGCGATCTGAGTCAAATTGCAGCTTCCCACAGAAGTGGTGCAATACAGAAATCGATTTAGAGTTGAGCGAGCTGTTTAGCGTTGGACTCCATTTCTACTGAGTCTATTAAGATGAGGGCAACCTTCGCGAGCCTTTGCACCGAGCCCTGAGGAGTCCTGGCTGATCCTTTTCCGTGGTCGGCTAGATCCCAAGCAGAACGGCCTGTGTTCGTCTAAGGTTCCGCAGAACCTAAAGGAACGGCATGTATGAGCCATTGCTGTAGCATAGCATGTAGCTGTCCATGCACACCCGTTTTGCCGTATTTAGCCGCTCTAAGGAAAGCGTGGTGGATCGGCTCGGCCTGAGGCCCGGTCTTGCGCCATGGAGCCTGGCCATTCCATCAAGGCTGCAGGATAAGAAGAGTTTGAGGAGTTAGGGTAATTTTGAAGAAGCCTCCAAGGGCACGGACAGCTTCCGCGGATGGGAGGCCGGGGCCGGGGTCGGGTTGGATTCCCAGAAGGGCCATAGGGCCCAAGCCCTCGCGCCCATGCGGTGCAGGATCCGTGCGGCGCGCTGGGCACAGCGCCACCTCCAGGCGTTGAATTCTGCGTGGCTCGGCCTGGAGAGCAGTTTCAGCCGACTTGCGCATTCATGCCCTCAGCGTGATTCCGACGACCGACAGTGATGTGGTTGCGATCGGCCTGGAGCCCTGAAGCTTCAAAGCTGAGGTGCAGCGGCCCGGTGAGGCGGGAAATCTTGCGCTTCATGTGATTCCGGCCTTGCCTCCATTGCCTGACAATCAGCCGCCACTCCCTTGATGTCACGTTCGGAGTTCAGGTCGTGTACATCGGTACACACGTAGATCACGCGACTTGCAACATGGACCCCCTGGTCCTTGGTGCCGGGTTGCCCAGATTGCAGGATTGCCGCCGTTATGTGGCCACGTGCTGTAGCGCCCTTAAAAGCACACTGACAAAAGTTCGGGGGAGGGAAAGGTTTTCAGCGAAGCCCACTATTCTAAATGGAAATAGAGAAGGGGATCCAAACCGAACTCATACCCTCAACCCTAAGGGCCCTAAAGTCTCAAAGAGGATATGGGCATTTGCCAGCTTCAGGTTGGCGGCCAAGGCTCTCGGGCTGCAGGGACCTCGGTGTCCTGCTGCCTCTGCCACACTTCGCAGACTGGCATCAGTTGCTGTAAATGAGAAATATGGGTAGTTCTTTAACTTAGGGTCCCTTGCTTAGGTCCCCAGTATCGTACGGAACCCTTATAAAAAGGACCCTGAAAGGAACCCTAATTTAGGGATCTACCCATCTGTCAGAGCGTGACACATTTATTTGGGCAGAGTTTTGAGACGGTGTAGTAGTGATGGTTTACCCAACTGCATGTGATCCGCGCAGCTGACCCAGGATTGGCCTCTGGTCGTCAAAGCTGTGCAAGAAGGCGATGTCGAAGCTGGAAGCCTAGATCGGGGCTCTTGGCCTCATCTTTGGAGTTCTGTACAGTTCCGTGGAGGCTTAGGTTAGGAGGAGAACCA